TATATCTATATATCTATCTATCTATATCTATATCTATATATATCTATCTATCTATCTATCTATCTATATCTCTATCTATCTATCTATCTATCTATCTATCTATCTCTCTCAAGTGAAAAAATATCAAGTGAAAAGCATATCAAGTGAAAAGCATATCAAGTGAAAAGCATATCAAGTGAAAAGCATATCAAGTGAAAAGCATATCAAGTGAAAAGCATATCAAGTGAAAAGCATATCAAGTGAAAAGCATATCAAGTGAAAAGCATATCAAGTGAAAAGCATATCAAGTGAAAAGCATATCAAGTGAAAAGCATATCAAGTGAAAAGCATATCAAGTGAAAAGCATATCAAGTGAAAAGCATATCAAGTGAAAAGCATATCAAGTGAAAAGCATATCAAGTGAAAAGCATATCAAGTGAAAATATCAAGTGAAAAGCATATCAAGTGAAAAGCATATCAAATCAAGTGAAAAGCATATCAAGTGAAAAGCATATCAAGTGAAAAGCATATCAAGTGAAAAGCATATCAAGTGAAAAACATATCAAGTGAAAAAAACATATCAAGTGAAAAACATATCAAGTGAAAAACATATCAAGTGACTGTCTTCTTTCCCAAAGACTCTTCAAATACACCAAAAGAAACTTTCACCTTCCACCCGTGAAACCAACATCAAATACACTCACCAGATTTAGGTGAATGGGACACTTTTTAGGAATTTAAGGATCCTAATCCAGCAACTTATTATAGCGAGACTGTGGCAGGCGTTCTGACACTGGGGGGGGGGGGGGGGGGGGGGGGGGGGAAACTGACTTGGTGTCACTGACATCCCTAGTGACACCAATACAGTGATCAGTGCTAATAAAAAGCACTGACACTGTACTAATGGCACTGGGCAGGTGTTGTAGGGTTAACATCTGGGGTGATCAGGGTTAACTGTGTGCAGTTTCTCTACTTGGGCTGTGTGCGCGCTTCACTGTAAGCACTCTGCTTTGTATGGCTCTGCTATGCAGAGCCATACAAAGCAGTGTGCAGGAGCTGACATGGGAGAGATCGGTGTTGTAGGGTCATGTAGTATTTTAACAAATATAGAAAATGCCAGTTACATTTTTTATAGGGTAGTTTGCTTTGCAGTTTTTTTTTGTTTTTTTTAATTGCCCATGTATCTATTTTAAGCTTAGATTGCAGTATCCATATATGGTAAAGTGCTAAAAATGTTAAGGCAGATGAGGGAGGAGGGGGGGGGCAGCAGAGTGCCTTGCCAGCCTAGGCTATGAGGCAGTGTTTTTCTATTGATGCACACAGCGTATGGAAACATAGATCTAGACCAATGGTTTCCAAATTGCGGCCCGGAGGCTGGATGCAACCTATTTGCTTGCCTTTATCCTGCTCTTGGGGCACTATTCCTTCCACTGCCTTTAACAATGTGGTATAATTCCTGCCACTGACACCAACAGAGGGGCATTATTCTTCCAACTGACAGCAATGATGGGGCATTATTCCTCTCATTGACATCAGTGATGGGGCACTATTCCTCTCACAGACACTAATGAGGAGGCATTAGTCCTCATATGGACACCAATGATAGGCATTATTCTTCTCACTGACATCAATGATAGGGCACTATTCCTCCCATGTACACAAATGATGGGGCATTATTCCTCTTACTGACACCAATGATGGGGCATTGTTTCTAAAGCTAAGGCATTTTCTACTCCTCTTGGCCACAGTCTGGCCTCTCAAAATTTTAAAGGATAATAAAATAAACTGGCCCTTTTTTTTTTTTTAGAACGTTTGGAAACCATATGTGCATGGGTGGCTTCACAGCATGCCGCAAGAGAAAGGAGCCACCCTAAAATAGGAAACATGGGCAGTGGTCATGGCACCAAATTAAACTGGAACATAGACAATGATTAAAAGATAAATTGCATACTCTGGGTTTAAAATCCCTTTAAACGTCACATTATGGGAAAATGAATAAATATATACATACGGTACATACATACACACACGCTACCATGGCTGATCTGTCTTTTTGAGAATGTTAGATCCTTGGCTGCCCTGCTGAGGCTTTGGCTTCAGTACTTTCTGAGCCACTGACTCATGTTCATTTCAAGGATGCTTGCTCCAGGTCTGTGATTCAAAACGTATTGAGACGAGAGACAACCCGGTATCTAGCATTTTCATGTGAAATCCAGCAATGGCAGCCTCTGTTAGACTGATGAGCACCCATTTACTGGTACTGAGGACATTGACACTAAGCCTGTTTCTTTTGTGTCTCTATTCAAGGAGTGAGTCATGACATTTTAAATCCTATGCATATTAGATTCTCCTCCCATGTGGTTACTAGTTGGCTGAAGTAAAGCCAAAACAGCATGACGGAATTATGAAGAGATTAACAAATTAAAGTAAACCTGTGCTGTTCCAAAAACCTAATGTTATTTTGGGGTAGTAAGTACCATCTGGAACCTGCAGATGACATTTAGCATCTTCAAAGCTTCCATATGGAAGCACCTAAAATTTTACAGACAGCTTCTGTAAATTGCATTGCACACCCACACTTTATTATTATTATTTCATAATGCAATGCAGGTGTTAATAGGCATTTAGTGGGAATATGTATTTACATTGAACTTTTTTGTCTCTTATCGTTGTTTTAGTTCTCATGCGCAGTACAAGATACCAAAGATTGAATATTTAAGGGCACAGTCCTTGTTATCAAATGCCTCAAAAGGAAAGCTTTTGATGTGACTTTCACATGCACTCTACACAGTAGAAGATATTTTCCCACTGTGGTTTATTTTGGCTGGATGGGAGAACAATTTAGCATCTAAGCGGTAATGTAGACCCCACACCGTCCCCCCCCCCCCAATTTTGGCATAGGGGTCCCCCTCAAAATCCATACCAGACCCAAAGGACCTTGTATGGATGGGGGGAGAGATAATGACTCACTGAATAAAAGCCATCTTAGACCATGGCGCAGATACGGTCTCTATATGCCCTCTTCCTGTTGCTGGTGAGTTGCCACCTACAGACAGGATCACTAGCATGACATGGCCCTAAACTGGCTTCTTGCAGCACAGCCGAGAGTAATGCAATGATTCGCATGTGAAAAGAAAACTAGGAGGTCCATCACAGGTTAATAAGGACGCACAATACAAATATGCAATATTGCAGAAAACATGGTAAATATGGAACATTGCATGTGGATATTGGATATTTGCAACTTACAGGCAGCAGCTGGCAAGTCTAGGCAATACTAGCAAGTTCCTGGAGTCCTCAAAGCAGACCTCAGTAGCAGGACTGCTTGTATTAGTCAGCTTGTGAAGGATACAGGCAGTGTTGGGCACTTTAGTAAACAATGTAATGGGTGTATCTTTTAATACTTGTACAATAAAGATCATATCAAAATAATACAACTAAATGTAATAAAAAACCAAATCAGATAATGAATTTGTATGTTTTAGAACCATTGTACTTCTTTTAAAACTAGTCTCGACAATTACGAGCACGGTTAGTGTGACTGTTGAGCCTTACAGCAAAACTCAGAGATGCCAAAGGCCTGAGAAAAAAAAAACCCAAAAAACAATCTTTTGGAGAAAATCACTGATAAAACCCACTGACAAGATATTCTGCCTTCTCTCTTCAGAACAGCAGCAGTGCCTGCCACACTGACCCCCCTCCCACCATAACCAAACCTCCCAACAGTGACATAGGGAGAGATTTACTAAAATTGGTGCACTCAGAAGCTGATTGGCTACAACACACAGCTGCACCGGATTCTAACTTCAGCTTGTTCAATTAAGCTTTGGCAATAAAACCTGGAAGCCGATTGGTTTCTATGCAGAGTTGTAAAAGACTTTGCACTCTTCAGTTTTAGTAAATAACCCCCATAGTGACAGGTATAGTTTAAAAAGGACTTGCACATGCTTTAAATATGGGTTGCATTGGGAGAAATATGCAATTTATGTAAACTTCTTTGGATAATGTTAGTTGCCTGGTTATCTCTGACTGTACTTGCTGAATGCTTATTGCAAATCACCAAGCCAGAGGGAAGTCAGACTAGCAGTGAACTGAAGAACTAGTAGTAGTGACCTAATTTTTCTGGGTCCAGGCTCAGAATATATTTAGCTGAATAAATCACCATAACAGGCAGACAACTATCATTTTAAATAAGATTTTAGCAATAGCAGCTTACAAATTCTTTCTATATAGGACCTCTGTAAACAAAAAAGTTGAGAATGCTGTTCACAGGTTAATGTTATTTAAGTGCAATTCCAACTAAAATGTTTTCCTTGCTTTGAAATTAGTTCGAACGGTTATTCTGTTGGCCTTTTACTACTGGCCATCTGCCCATTCACATGAAGAGGAAGAAAATATCACCAATGGATATGCACATCGTATTTGCACATCATATTTGCACATTATGGCAGACTTACGGTACTTCACACAGAGCTCTCAAGTAATGCGACATCCATGCTCCCCCTAATTGTCCCATCACCCTCTTCTCCCAGTCTTATTTGGTTGATGGCAGAAGAAACCTAGAGAGTCTCATTTGCCACAAAAAGTTATCTGCTCGCATTTTTAAAAAACACATTTAAGCAGAAAAGAGAAGGACATCTTTCAAATTTGTGTCCCCTCACTTGCGGTCATGACACCAGGGATGGGAAGGGAAATTCCCTAACGGGGGACCCAAGCAACAATAAAAGCTGATTGATGTGCTCATCTTCCCCCCATACTACCTAAAACATAACTTTTTTTGGCTGGAGGTCCTTTTTAATTGCTATAGTATAAACAAGAATCCAGAGGATAGAGGAAAATCCAGAGGACTAATGTTCAGATAAGTATTTTAAACTCAGTGCACATTCAATCATCTTATTGATTATTGACAGTAAGATCGAACACTACGCATGAAGTCATCATAAAAAGATTTATTTATTTTTTTACTGCTAGCGGGACTTGTATATAAAGAATTTTCCTGGACACGTGTATGGGTAATCGAATCAGTCTTCTCCTCCGCAAAGCTTCAAAAGCACCTTCCTGTAGTCTCCAGAACAATCTCCCTGGAAAGCAAAAATGTCAGGGAAATAGGTTTATATGATAGTACCTGTCAAATGTATGTCCTAATTAATAGGCAAATTCTTCAACAATACTTTTACACAACAGAACGTTGACATGCTTGATCTGGCATCCTGATAAGAGGACCTGACAGAATCTTTCTAAGCAAATTAAAGAACCTGCATCATATTTCAGTAAGTCTGTGTGCAGGTATAGGGTATTGTGTTAATTTTATGACCCGGCCATATACAGGGAAATATGATCAGTGGAACAATTACAGCTTTCTATTTGGACAGCAAGGATGCGAATAGTTGAAGGTGGGTGTGCCATGTGTAGCTTTAGTATAATGTCAAATCTGCAATCCTGTGGTTGGCAAGAAGTTCACCCCTCACTTATCCAGCCGATGTGGGAGCAACACATACATGCAGCTGAGATTTGCACCTTCCTTCTGCATTCTCCACAGAGATCCTTTCACTGAGTTTTAGCCAGTGGCAGGATCGCAAGTGTGATATAGGCCTTACGATTAAGCACTTTTACTAAAAAAATGCATCAAGGCGTTTTTGCCTTTAATTCAAATAAAAGCTACACTCTTTTAAAGCTGCTCATCAGAATCTTTAACACAAAATAAATCGTGTTAATTTTCTAAATAGTTTCTATAGAGTGCAACTACAGTCATGACCAAAAATATTGGCACCCCTGCATTTCTGTTTAGATAATGCACCACTTTTGAATTTGTCAGGCATGACTGTCCAATGTCTACATATACAGTCATGGCCAAAAATATTGGCACCCCCAATAATGCACCACTTCACCCAGAAAATTGCTGCAATTACAAATGTTTAGACATGCTCAAATTTCTTCAGGCACTGGCATTCATCTTGCATGGCATTATGAAATCTAAAGACTACCAAAGAATTCTGGGGTGCAGTGTAGGGCTGTAAGACTCTGTCAGAGGTCATGAGTCTTGCAGCAGGACAATGATCCAAAACACACATCAAAAAGCACCTAGAAAGGGTTTAAGACAAAGTGCTGGAGAGTACTGAACTGGACAGCAATGAGTCCAGATCTCAATCCTATAGAGTACTTGTACAGAGATCTCAAAACAGCAGTTGAGAAAAGGAACCCTAACTTGAGAGACCTGGAGCAGTTGCAAAAGAAGAGTGGTCCAAAATTCCAGTAGAGAGGTGTAAGAAACTCAATGATGGTTACAGGAAGAATTGATTTATTATTTCCAAGGGGTGTGGAATGTATCAGGAATTTTGTTTCTTCACTTTTTTGTGTCATACCAATACAAACCAAAGAAATAAACATGAGAATGCCTGAACATTTTTAATTGCAACAATTTTCTGGGTGAAGTGGTGCATTAATAGGGGTGCCAATATTTTTGGCCATGACTGTATATGTGGACATGGGACAGTCATGCCTGACAAATTCATACTCAGGATGAGCTCCATGCTTTGTTGTAATGTTTAGTACTTTGACGCCTTTACTTAAAGGCCACTGCAACAAAACTCACTTTGTAAAGTGCTCCTTCAAAAACCGTGAAATCTGGGTTTGGATTCCTACCTTTGATTCCACAGTGCATTGCTCTCACCTTGATAAAGGAATGCAGAGACTTGCCATACATCTTCTTGAACTCTGAACGGATTTCCAACATGTCAACTTCACAGCGGGAAACCATCACTCTGATAAGCGTGTTGTCGTCTGTGCCTAGGCCCTGTGACATGAGAATGTATTCACTGTTAATATAACAGAACAAGTACCCCATTGGAGTACATAAGTGAAAATGATTGCTTAGGTACAATTGAGGATTCTTGAGATGCAATGTAATAGGCCCACCTTATAAAGACTTTTGCCACCAAGAGATCATGGAATTAATTCTCTTTTTATACAACAAACTATTTATTGCAAGTGTTTTATCCACTACACCATTTTGAATTTGGCCTATTTGACTTCATTATTATTAGAGTAGAAAACTACTGGAACATTTTTTTTTTTTTACACAATGGCATACATTATATTTGACACTATTGGCATGAGAAAGAATACCGTATTTTCCGGCGTATAAGACGACTTTTTACCCCTTGAAAATCTTCTCAAAAGTCGGGGGTCGTCTTATACGCCGGTATACGGCATACTGACACTTTTTAGGGGGGCAGCGCGGTGCCGCCGCCGCCCCCCCCCCCTTCCAAGGGACACCAAGTACAGGGCTGGGCAGGGGCTGCTGTCTCTTACCTGGCTCCGGTCCCACGACGATCCGGTCCAGGAAGCGCGGCTGCTCCTTCATTCGGTTCGGCCACTGGATGTTCGCGCGGCTGCTCGGCTCCGCCTCCTCACCGGTGATTGGCCGCCAGAACTGTAGCTCAGGAAAGGCACACAGGCGGCCAATCACCGGCGAGGAGGCGGAGCCGAGCGGCCCCGCGAAAATCGAGTGAAGGAGCGGCCGGTAAGTGTGCAGTCCAGAGGTGCTGCTGCAACCACATATGCTGGCTGCAGCAGCACCATACTAGAACAGGGGCCAGCAAGTGTCATTGGTAGGAATAGTGCCCCATCATTGGTGTCACTGATACCAATGATGGGGCAATACTCCTCCCACTGACACCAACGATGGGGCACTTTTCCTCCCCCCCACTAACACCAACGATGGGGCAACTATTCCCCCCCCCCCCACTGACACCAATGATGGGGCACTATTCCACCCCCCACTGACAGCAATGATGGGAGACTATTCCTCCCACTGACACCAATGTTGGGACACTATTCCTCCCACTGACACCAATGATGGGGCACTATTCCTCCCACTGACACCAATGATGGGGCACGATTCCTCCCACTGACACCAATGATGGGGCACGATTCCTCCCACTGACACCAATGATGGGGCACGATTCCTCCCACTGACACCAATGATGGGGCACGATTCCCCCCACTGATACCAATGATGGGGCACGATTCCCCCCACTGATACCAATGATGGGGCACTATTCCTCCCACTGATACCCATGATGGGGTGCTATTCCTCCCACTGACACTAATGATGGGGTGCTATTCCTCCCACTGACACCAATGATGGGGCACGATTCCTCCCACTGACACCAATGATGGGGCACGATTCCTCCCACTGACACCAATGATGGGGCACGATTCCTCCCACTGACACCAATGATGGGGCACTATTCCTCCCACTGACACCAATGATGGGGCACTATTCCTCCCACTGACACCAATGATGGGGCACTATTCCTCCCACTGACACCAATGATGGGGCACGATTCCCCCCCACTGATACCAATGACGGGGCACTATTCCTGCCACTGATACCAATGATGGAACACTATTCTTCCCACTGACACCAATGATGGGGCACGATTCTTCCCACTGGTGTGCATTGGAAGAGGGGTAGTCTTATACGGCGAGTATAGCCTAAACACTACATTTTAACAGGAAAAGTAGGGGGTCGTCTTATACGCCGGAAAATACGGTACATTAGAAAAGGCATATAAAAAAAAAAAAACACTTTCAAAAGCTGCTCCCCCACGCCCCCTCCTTACCTTACACCCTACAGCCTAGTAAACATGATGAGAATATTGGATGACTGATCATCCATTTTTTTGTTTTGTTTTTGTATGCTAGTCTCATATCGAAAATGAATAGGTTGCTAAAGTCAAGAAAATTCTCGTAAAACAGAATACAGATGTAGAAATGATTAATGTATTATTTTGTTTCCGAGCATGTGTGGTCTTGGTCACTAGATTTTTTTTTCCGTACAAATGCTATACCAATTACATGGAAAAAGTTTGTTCTCTTATCTTACACAAACGTTCGTGCTTGTCCTTTTGGATATTTTTGCAAGAACTATCGTGATCAGCTCTCGAAAGCTGTGTACAAACGATTGGATTATCAAAAACGACTGCTCTGAAAGCATTTTTTTTTGTCCAATTTTCTCAGTTTGTGTACTAGGCATTGGCCTCAGTCTGATCTCGATCCTGCACTATGCCTGTCTGGAACAGCTCTTCTCCCCTCTCTTTCTTCTCACAGAAGACAAAAGTAGCCATTGGCTCCTACTGCTGTCAGTCCAGTCCTGTGAGGAGGGAGAGAGGGGCGGGCTGTGTGTGTGTGTCTATGGAGACGCACAGCTGACACGGGATCAAGACCACACAAGTGCAACCATTGCAAGTGGAATTCGGAGAAGAGAGGGAGCAACGATTGCCAGCAGAAGAGGAGGCTTAGGGCTGCTCTGTGCAAAACCATTGCAAATAGCAAGTATAACATGTTTTTGTTTTTGTTTTTTTAAATAATAAAGAATCTTTACAACTACTTTAAAAAAGGGAAAAAAAAACTGCTTTTTGAGCTGTCGCCAGAACAGGAATAGGAGGGGAATATTAAAACATATTCCAGTGACAACTGTGCAAGAGGGGATTTACCTCACTTTGGAGTGCATTTCTCTTATTTTCTGTTGTGTCTATAGGACAGGAAGTAAAGAAAAATCTCTCCAATGGAATATAGATGTCAAACAAAAAACTGACATGGTTCTTCAACAATCCTAGTCTAGCCAAAATAAAGGAGATTTTAGCATCACCCCCAGAATTATCCAATTACGATAGCCCAAAACGTTTTGGGGTTTTTGTTATCGTATATCCAGCACAGATGCAACTATGCAGTAATTATACTGCAAAGTCAACTTTGGGTTTTTGTGTCTCTCTTCCTTGTGCTCTTTTGTTCACTCTAGCTTTTTAGCTCTCTCCCTGCCCTGAGCAGACAGCAGAGCTTTAATGAATGCCAAGTGGAGCTGCGGTTTCTCTCTTCATTTGTCACATGTGGTTCGGCTCCACTGGAGCTTAAAAGAGCAAATCCTTCAGCGAGAGAGAAAAATACCCGGACATTACCAGGAGTGCGTATGACACTGTTGCTTCTTCCTCTGAGAAGCTGCCGAAGTGACACAGAGCTGAAGAAAATATTTTAAGATATGTATTTATAGCTCTCCTCCTCACATTCAGAAAACTGGGGACCACACTAACTCGACCAGGTACCTTTTTTTTTTATATACACAGACAGTTTCAATACGGAACACCCACTTTTACAACAGCAACCTATATTGCATGTATGCCAAATCTTTAAAACTGTGCATATATTTTATATATACAGTGGGGCAAAAAAGTATTTAGTCAGCCACCAATTGTGCAAGTTCTCCCACTTAAAAAGATGAGAGGCGCCTGTAATTGGCATCATAGGTAGACCTCAACTATGAGAGACAAAATGAGAAAAAAAATCCAGACAATCACATTGGCTGATTTGGAAAGAATTTATTTGCAAATTATGGTGGAAGATAAGTATTTGGTCACCTACAAACAAGCAAGATTTCTGGCTCTCACAGACCTGTACCTTCTTCTTTAAGAGGCTCCTCTGTCCTGCACTCATTACCTGTATCAATGGCACCTGTTTGAACTTGTTATCAGTATAAAAGACACCTGTCCACAACCTCAAACAGTCACGCTCCAAACTCCACTATGGTGAAGACCAAAGAGCTGTCGAAGGACACCAGAAACAAAATTGTAGACCTGCACCAGGCTGGGAAGACTGAATCTGCAATAGGCAAGCAGCTTGGTGTGAACAAATCAACTGTGGGAGCAATTAGAAAATGGAAGACATACAAGACCACTGATAATCTCCCTCGATCTGGGGCTCCACGCAAGATCTCACCCCGTGGGGTCAAAACGATCACAAGAACGGTGAGCAAAAATCCCAGGACCACACGGGGGGACCTAGTGAATGACCTGCAGAGAGCTGGGACCAACGTAACAAAGGCTACCATTAGTAACACACTACGCCACCAGGGACTCAGATCCTGCAGTGCCAGACGTGTCCCCCTGCTTAAGCCAGTACATGTCCAGGCCCGTCTGAAGTTTGCTAGAGAGCATTTGGATGATCCAGAAAAGGATTGGGAGAATGTCATATGGTCAGATGAAACCAAAATAGAACTGTTTGGTAGAAACATAACTCGTCGTGTTTGGAGGAGAGAGAATGCTGAGTTGCATCCAAAGAACAACATACCTACTGTGAAGCATGGGGGTGGCAACATCATGCTTTGGGGCCGTTTCTCCACAAAAGGGACCAGGACGACTGATCCATGTACAGGACAGAATGAATGGGGCCATGTATCGTGAGATTTTGAGTGCAAACCTCCTTCCATCAGCAAGGGCATTGAGGATGAAACATGGCTGGGTCTTCCAACATGACAATGATCCCAAACATACCGCCCGGGCAACGATGGAGTGGCTTCGTAAGAAGCATTTCAAGGTCCTGGAGTGGCCTAGCCAGTCTCCAGATCTCAACCCCATAGAAAATTTTGCAAATAAATAATCTTTCTTCAAACATCTTGGCCAAAATGTATTCAGTTATCTTTTTAGTAAACAAAAAAAACACCCCAAAATTAGTTTATAACTAAAAATAATTTTTCTAAATTTTTTTTTACATTTTTATTTTTTTTTTTAACATACTGACTGTCACCCTAGCAATACAGTGTCACCATAGTGACACTAGTACTTGTAGGGGGGTGATGAAGATTTTTTTTTTTTTTTTTTACACTGATTGCTTTTACACCCATAAAAGGCAGTAAAAGCAATCATTTCTCCTTCTCTCCGACTGCATTCTTGCAGCCATTGAGAAATACTATGAGAGCTGCGATTGGTCACAGCTTGTCACATGGTATAAGGCTGTTGTAAATAGCTTTGTACCATGTGACCTCTGTGATCATTCACAGATTTCACAAGTAGTAAGCAATGATGTCAGGAAGTGACATCTTGCTTACTACTATTCATGTGATCACTGATTGGCCAATCAGTGGTCACATGAATCGGAACCTCACACAGAGGTCCCATGCAGCAATCTGTGTTCGCGGTCCCATGCGCTCCCAGGGAGTGTGCACAGGCTGAAAATGCAGGCACCATTTATGAACAGCAACCTGCCCCTGCACTGCTCCCGTCTGGCCGTTTATATACATGGGCAGGACATGAAGTGGTTTATGGACACTGAAACACTGCTAACAAACTGATGTCAAAGGAAAGTTACATGTCCAGTTTCTAAGTTCCGGAGGACACAGCGGGCACCGGATCGCGGTGCTGCGCTCTCCCAGTGAGCGCACACAGGCTGTGAATGCGGGTGCCATTTATAAACGGCAACCCGCTCCTGCCCTGCTCCTGTCTGTTTATGTACATGGGCCGGATGGGAAGTGGTTAAAAGCCAAAACATTTTTGGCCATACTACTTTTATGGGTCTCACTAGCACGCTTTTGCATTCCCATGACTCAGAATCAGCCAAAAGCTCTCAGCCCATGTCACAGAGCCAGGTACTGGAAGGTTCCCGACAATGATGTCAGAATCCCCCCAGATGCCTGATCGGCAACTGGCTCAGCCTCTCAGCGCATGCTGCAGACAGATTTTGCAGCCATAGAGGTGAATATGAATTTTTTTTTATTCCCACACAAATCCTTTTAACTGCTTTAAAATTGTGTTTTATACATATATCTAAAGTTCACAGGTAGCCAGGATTGTTTTGGTAGTAGCCAAATGAGAAAGAAAAAACTGTAAGAGGATACAAAGTTGTACATAGTGCAGAGCACTATGTACAGAGAAGCTCTGAGAAGACCCCTCTGATCACAACGAAAATGGAGACTGTTTTAAGCATCATTAGCGCTTCAAAAAGCCAATAACCAAAATCCATTTTAGCATAAAAAAAAACATAGTTGTGAAGAATAAAAAGCAGGTATGCTACTAGGTACTCCCCAATGCAACATAAACGTTATTCATTTTCCAATATACATACACACTGGATCACACCGATGGTGTTCAAGTTCTCATTTCAAATCTCAACAGCCTCATCTGTGTTTTAGGATCAGCAATGATAATTATAAGTGTGGAGAAAGCCTCAGAAGCTCTTAGCGCACAATATGTTCTATATAGAAATTTCATAGACTGGAACCTCTAGAGATCCCAGCTTTGCTCCCTATATTGAATTTGCTCACTGATGTAAGATGCAGTAAAAGATTTAATTGAGCGGTGGATAACTCACCTTCATGGATTTATACAATCTTTCGGCAAAGTAACCAGGCCTGCTTTTTGCACATTTCACTGTAAGGAAAAATGCATAATAGATTAGAAGGGAATTGAAGATTAAGCAGCCCTAATATAAATGAAACCACTGACTGACTTACTATTAATACAGATGTAGCATACACCTAGGTAGAACATAATGTAGAAATGTCATCACCCAGGCAGTCAGGGGGTAGAGTGTGGACAACCAGATTTATGTGCACTGGCTGTCACCATTATCTTCACCGAAGTGAATCACACAGTGTGACAAATAGGTCGGTCAATATCACATAACAAATCGATCTTTTCTCTGCTTAGATATAGGGCTTTTCATCCAGTGATTCATAGTTATTCACAGTGCCCATATAGAAACCATCTATAGAGACACATTTTTAAAAAATTCTAGACGTATCTAAAAAGCAGGGTGTTTTCAAATCATAAGCATCTGAAACTGCTAAATAAACCAGATGGCATTCGCTTATATTTGTTGTAATGACAGAGCAGCTAGCCTACAAGTTAGCAACTCTTCAGTATACAATAGCCTAACAAATTATGTGTCTGGGAGTTACCTAGAGCAGTGCAAACAAATTAGACTGCATGAAAATTTTACTTTATCACCATCACGAGAACTGACAAACCTCCATGCGATAGCAGGTAACTGGTTCTCTTTAAGGAGACATCAGGGGTCTAAAAGCCTTCCAAAATCAACTCTGCACTTTTGAGCTGAATGATTCTGGGTTCATACTAGAATAATGAGACCAAATCTCTCCTGATACCACCATGGAGGTCCCAGGCACTCACGTGAGCCTGGGACACATGGCAAAAGGGGGAGGTCACACACCAAAGGGAGCTTCACAATACTGTAGAAATAATTGGGTGGCGATAGGGCTGCTATAGTGACTGGGAATTTACTTAATGTTGGGAACATGGCTATAGCAGTGGAAGAGTTATTACTTTTTTTAAAGTTAACAGAATTGTTTTAAGTTAGCATCTCTGCAAAAAAACGAATAAAACCTGTCCATAGGCATGCGCACAGGGTGCCAGGTGTCACCCCATGCGCATTAACGCTATTGCTCTGTGTGCCGGCAGGAAGATGGTAAAGATCTCCCTCTTACTGGCTCTGCCATAGGAGAAGTACCTACGCACCTCTCTTTCACTGTGCCGGCAAGGAGATCAATGTGCCTGGGCCATTTATATGCAGACACACGTTTGAGCCTTTAGGGTGCACATCCTAATGCAATAGGCTGTGCACACACCTATGAACCTGTCCCACTGCCCGCACTGCCAAACTTGCTTGCTAAGCTTGCTGCAAGCCCCTCAGCATCCAGCACACTTCTGGAGATGTCGGATATCTGATCCCCTGCTGTCCACTGTGGTTTCTTCTGCCAGTTCCTACCTCACTACTGTGTGCTGCAGTAACGTAAAGGCCTGCAGAGGAAACCACATATCACAGCAGACGCCAATATTTGAATCTGAAGTTTTTAATGCAGATAATTTTTCAACAAGCTGGGGTCTTCAATGCAGTAAAGTTTGGAAGTTCAGCAGCAAAAAGGTTAATAATGAAAGGAAAAAAAAAAAAAACACACACACGGGGCATGACTTCCCTTCAATGTGATGTGTCCCTTGTACTGCTGCCTCCTGGTTTAGTAGAAATCGTCTTCCCTTCAATCCCTCCACCATAATCTTCCAGTGCAGTGGGGTTAATAGAGCAGAAGGAGCTGTGACAGGCAGTCATCAAAACGTGCCTGACTATACCCACCCATTCCATTCCTCTCCTCTTCCATTCATAGAAGTATTAACCCCAGCCACGACAGAAGATTACAGTGGTGGGGAAAAGAAAAAAAAAAAAAAAAAAAAAAAAAAAATCAGAAAAGGAATATTTCTTCTAAACAAGGCAACACAATGGACACCTCAGACAAAGAGCATGTAACCTCCCCTTTGCTATTTTGTTAACTAAACGTAGGCTTTAATTGCCTTTTTATGGCAACAGAGTCTTTAAATATAACACATCAGGGCCTATTTCTTAATAACACTTTCAATGTTACTTTAAACATTTTGCCAGTCATCCTTCCTCAACCGACCAGCCATTCTAAAGAAAGAGCCATAGAACATCCCTATCTCTGGAGTACAAACAGTAAGAGAACAATTAGATCATAAAACACCTACCAATGGCCAGTAGAGCATCTTCAAAGTGTCCAGACATCTCAGATTTTATACTGGCCTCGATATCTTTTTTTGAAATCGTTTTATATTCATCGAAAACTGTAAAATGTAAGAGAAGAAAAGGCCAAGCTCAAGCTGTGCTCACACCGTACACTTCAAAGAACATGGACAAGATGGATGCCTCAAAACAGAATATTGAAGAAGGGGGTAATAACAGATTCAGATCAACTAAACATAGCATTTTTAATAAATATTGAATTATACCTGTCAGTTAAAAAACATCTTTTTAGGCAGAAAAAAAATACAAAATAATAAAATAAAAATGATGAACAGAGGAAGATTTGTTGTCTCTTAAGACTGCAGGGACCATAAGAAGCATTCCCTGCAGTCTTAATAAACCTCAACCTCAAAACACCTCTAATTATGACCTACCTCATTTAGAAAGCCCAGATCCAAAGAAAAATAGGATAAAAGAATCGGCTTTAAAAACAGTCCTTTTTGACCTCTTGCCAGTTCAAAAATGGAACATCCCCCCCTCCCTCTGCCTCTTGTATCACTAATCACATTCAAACATCCATAGTAGGTTTGATTTTAAATTGGTGGCTGTGACAAACATCCTAACAATGAAATTTATTTTTACATCCAGCTTTATGTAGGTGAGGAACAGCAAGCAGGATGCTCCAGCACCACTAGTATGTGTGTTCCAGGATCATCTGATTACTGACAAAAGGAAGTGGGAAACAAAAAGGTAAAAAACTTTACTGAGCAGGTACACAGTGCTCTGCCCTCGTTTTTAGATTTGATTGAACAGATACAGTACTATGGGGGAGATTTACTAAAACTGGTGAGTGCAAAATTTAGTGCAGTTCTGCATAGAACCCAATCAGCTTCCAGGTTTTATTGTCAAAATGTAATTGAACAAGCTGAAGTTAGAATCTGGTGCAGCTGTGCATGGTAGCCAATCAAACTCAGTGTGCCACTTTTAGTAAATCTCCCCCTATTTGTGATAACACAAGAAGCAGAGAGGTTGTAAATTTCTTTCAGTTCTGTGTGAATGCTGTCAGCAGCACTCTTGATTATCTCTAAAGACATGCTGGTAGGTTAATTGGATCCTGTATAAATTGTCCCTAGTATGTGTATGTATGAATGTAAGTTAAGGACCTTAGATTGTACACCCCTTGAGGGTTAGGGATTGGTAAGTGAATGTACAAAGCGCTGCGTAAATTGACGGCGCTATACAAGTACCTGAAATAAATGAAAATGAATTCCCTTGTAGCCACCCAGGACTTTCCTGTGAATTAGCAGAACTAGTGTTGATAAAAGACAGGCTGGATAAAAAATAAAAATCATGCTCTATCATTGGGACCCGGCTTAAAGTTTAACTAAAGGAAAAATGTATTACAATTTGGATAGAGTGGAGAAGTATTATAACATCGGTCAGGTGTTTATTGCTGCCTGTGGCCCCCTCTTTCCTTTTAAACATTATCATGAGAGTTAAAGTGAAAGAAAATACCAAATTCAAGGAAAAGACACAGATGTCTATGCAAATTGCACAAAAGTAGTGCATGTACTACTTTAGAAATTGATGCGGCTCCGACCAAGTTGGAACCGTACCGATATGACCGCTATAATTGCTGATGATAGGGTGTGACTTGGCATATGATTTGCAAGTCGCATGGAATGCAAATTGCATGCCAAGTTGCACTCAGTTTGACCGGGGGTGTAAAGCAACTAATTATGCAATGAATTTGATTTACCAGAACTGTAGAGTGCAAAATCAGGTGCAGCTCTGCATGGAAACCAATCAGCTTCCAAGTTTTTTTGTCAAAGCTTAACTGGACAAGCTGAAGTTAGAAGCAAAATGGCTACCATGCACAGCTGCACCAGATTTTGCACTTTGGTCTTAGTAAATCAACCCCATTATGTTCTAAGAAATATGGAGCAGGGATGAAATCAAGGGAACCAACATCAAAACAGTTCAAATTACCTTTCAGTAAATGCTTCCTGTTTCTAGTGCAAAGAACGGTCAAAAATTTCACTTCATCGGTCCCCCATTTTTTCTCACCAGCTTCATATAGGTCCTGAAATGAGGGTAGAGAAAATTACTCTACAAATAAACCCTACCTTCATGCTGTATACGTAGCATTCCTGCTTAGGAATAAAACATCACATTTTTCTGATGAAAAGTCACAAATGCTAATACTATGAATTCCAGAATCTCAGCAATACTACAATATTCTCACTATCTGGCATGGCAGTCAAACAATAGTATTACTGCTTATCAATCTAACATAACACACTGTGGTATCTGCACATGACTGTTTTATTTTGGGTGTTGATCTGCTGAGTACCAGGCCTTAAAAGATTGATGGTTTATTATTACATAATTAAATATTTTAAATGCAAGCAGGGAATTTAAATGTGATTTGGTATCAAGCCTCTTGCACTTCTCTGTACAGCAAAGCTCATACTGGGACAGGATAAAAGCAGCACAAGCAGCCATTCTGTTGTACAGAGTTTCGTGGTTGGTGTTATCTGCCTATGCATAAGGATAAACCCTAAATATTGGTGTAGCATAAAACGTGGTCTAAAACCTGGAGTTAGCCTTCAACTGCAGCAAAGAAAATTCAGGTCTTCTGCCCTGCCAGATAGGGCTGTGCTGTGTGACAGAGCTGTGTGAACCACAGAACTGAATGGACAAAAATACAAATCCTTTGGCAGGAAAATTTATGCAAGTCATCTGTGTATTTATCGGATTGTTTTTTTTTTTTGCAGGAAACTGCAACACAGTACACTCTTATTTGGTCATTTTGTTACATGCACTAAAAATACAAAATGTTCCCTTTGTTTCTGTAGTTTAACAATGTGTTTAGTAGGAAGAGGTACAATACACAGGGTTTGTTTTCACTCACTTTTTTATCAAACTTCATTAGTAAAAGCAATGACAAAATGAAAAGGTCAAATGAAGGAAGCTTGTACAGGGGGAAGTACGAAGATTGCAAATGTTTTCTGCTCTGATAATGCAGGTTCCCTAGCTTTCATGCTGATCCACTGGCAGATCTCTCAGTGGTAGAAACCCTTGATCGGCTTGGAAGTGCTATTCAGAATGGGCTCCAAGTGGGAAGAGCTCTGCTGATCAGCCAAAGTGGAGCATACAAACTGGATTTTGTCACTTCTGCCTGACATTGGAAAACATTAAAGCCCATCTCCAGGCCAAAAAAAGGTTTCCCATGCTGTGCCCACACTGCATGAATGAACTGTTTATTTTTGTTTAGGGGAGAGTAGTAAGAGGATTCATTTATCTAATCCTCCGACCCTCCCAGCACAAGCCCTCTCCTTGCAGCTCCTGCCCCTTGCAGTCTAGTTGTCTTGTGCAGTGGTCCACCACTGGCCATGGGGGGAATACTGTTTTGCAGTGAAACAAAGGATAGGGTGAGTATAAGTTTCTCCTCACCCCTAGACAAAACGAGCAGTTGACCCGTACAGTGCAGGGACTGCCCCACTGCATTGGATAACTTTTTATTTTTTGCCTGGAGTTTCACTTTAATAAATTTGTCTTCCTTCTCACTTGTGAGGACTACTTCCAAACAAATTAAGTCTAGGTTCACACCTATGTGTTTTCTGTTGCATTTTACAGAAATGCACAGCAGTCCATTTAACATGATTTCCTATGGGCCAGGTTCACATCTCTGCGTTTTACCCAGTGTGTTTTGTGGAAAGGGTCAGGGACGTTTTTAAACACAAAACGTTGCATTTTTGGTTCTATAGATTTCAATGGAGATGCTGCAGAAAAGCATAGGATGCATTTTTGACACGTTTTAATCTGCCCAGAAACAAGCGGGAAAAAAAACAAACAAAAACAAAATGCAAAATGTATCAAAAAAACATGGCAAAAAAAGGTGTCAAAAATGAATGTGCAAAAAGCACTGCAGAAACAGATCAAATGCAAACTGCATAGGTGTGAACCTAGCCTTTACCCTAAAAATCAGACAGTTTTTTTTTTTCAAAGTAGATTGTCACTTAAAGTAGGATTCCAAGTTTAATTTCACTTTAATTAGATTGTTTGGGCCAATCTGGCTCATTTCTATTACAGAACAATGTGACAGCAGTGTGTGCTCTAATGCACTATAGTAGCATCAATTACATACAGTAAGCAGCATTGAGTTTTGGCAGCAGTACAGGCAACTTCCCATGTTAAAGTTAAAGAGAATCTGGCTGAGTGCTCATCTGCCATTCAGGAGAATCCTTGTATTTTTATCAATGAATAATAGGCTTTTCCTGATTGGCTGAAGTGGAAACTGATGTTATTTGCCTGCCTATCCACCTCAGTCAATCACAGGAAGTCTTTTAAGTACTGAGAAAATAAAAGGTTTCTCATAAATGGCTGAGAAGTACCAAGCACTATTCTCTTCCAACAGCAACCAATTCAGCCACTGGATGGAATATTCCCTAGTAAAGAGCTGAATGTAACCAAAGACCAGAGATGCTGGCTGGCATCATTACCCAAATATGTCAAGGGCCACACTTGGTCATTGACTAGAATCTCCCAAATTACAGCTGAATCAGGCCAGGGAAGAGTCCTAGGTTGCGATGATGCTGTCGGCTGCAAAGTCCACAGCATCTTGGTAACCAATAATGCTGTGCTTACCTTAAAATTTTTCTATATATATATATATATATATATATATATAGTTTATATATATATATATATATATATATATATATATATATATATATATCCGTTGCCTTTACAAAAAATGATGCTGTGCAATCCAACACTGCGAATTAAGTGTCCATTATGGACTTTCTTGACTCAGTGCCACCCCTCACTATACCTTCCTGTGATAAAAATGATGTGTCCATTTGCAATAGGTACATCAATTTGTCACAGGCACCTACATTTGTCTATGACACTCTTTATGAATTCAGGGGGGGGTGTGTTGCAGGAAAGTCCAAATTGCTGCACTTTTAGTACACTAAAATACATTTTGTCATCTTAAGTAGGTCCTTCAAAAATGCAGTGCAATAAGCAATGCCTGAAACATGCGATACGAAATCCGTTTTCAATTGCATGTGCTGAGAACAACCTCTTAAATATCAGAGCTTTCATAACAGAGCAAGACACTAGGAGTTTACAGCTTGGAAAACAAGCATAAAGTGATCTTAGAAAATATCAAAATAGGTTTATAGCAAATAGGGTTAAAATTGTACTACTAGAGAAACAATGTTCTAAAAATGAGCCCTTTAAAACAGCCTGATATAAATGTACTGTCGTCAGTTCTCAAAACAGCCGTTTCACATGTCTCTATAAAATATACAGTTTACCATTAAGGAAAAACAAAAATAAATCTTACAAATAGTTTTATTTCCATCTGACAGAATAATATACGGCTTTGAAAGGAAATGGAATTCATAACCAGCTCAGAATTTCACCTGAGGTGTTAAAAGAGACAAAGTACAAAGCGTTGGATTAAACTGAAATGGAGACCGTTTCTTCACTGAAGGAGCTTAAAAACACCAGCTGAATCTTTTGCGCTTGGGAAAACTCGACAGGTGTCTGTACCGAGAATGTCACCGGGTGAAAAAGCATAGAGGAAAAACAATGAACTGAAACACAGCGAGTAGACGCAGGAAGGTGTCAAAAAATAGAGGGGCTTTTTGTTGGAAACAAAAGGCTGAATCCTGCTGTCTTCTCAAACACTTCAAACGTCTTGCACATACTGCAAAAGGCTCGGAATTATCTGTGCAAATCCTGTATGAGGTAGACTGCTGCCTTCGTATTTCAAAAACTGTACTTCAAAAACCATGCTCAATGCCTTACAAAATGGGTTTTTAAGGGCAAGCTTTTATTGTAAAAGATGTACTCATCGAAATGACCACTATAAAGTGCAACTCTTTTTCCCACACCTTTTTGACCAAGATAAAACTCTAAACAGCTAATTATTTCCAAAGTCTACAATTTCAACAGATCTAAATGACAACCTGGCAGTGTAAGGTGAAGCAAGGATCTAGGAAATCTCCATGAGCTCCACTAGGTGAAAACATTTGGGCTGGAAGAACACCAGCCATTTATAGCAGGTCTAATCCAATATGACTCAAAATTCATTTCATCAGATAGTTAAAGGTCTACTGCAGTGGTCTCCAAACTACAGCCTCAGGGCTCGATACTGCCCTTTGCTTGCCTTTATCCGACCCTTGAGGCAATATTCCTGCCACTGACAACAACAGTGGGGCATAATTCCTGGCATTAACACCAACAATGGTGTTCCTCACACTGATACCAACTATTTCTCCCCTTAATACCAAAGACCAGACATTGTTTACTCCCACTGGGCACAGTCCAGTCCCTCTAAAGTCTGAAGATCAGTAAACTGGTCCATTCTTTGGAAAGTTTAGAGACCTCTGGTCTACTGTATTATAAAAACTGTATACAATTAATGTAAAGTCATGAGAGTAGTATAAATATATATGTATTTATTAAGTATGAGAGAAAGTGTGGGGGTGGACTGAACTGTGAAAGCTGAAAAATGCAGGCAGAGGACAAGGGACTAGTTGCCAGTATTGCATGTTGGCTCCCTGCAGCTGATCTTTCTCCATTATGGACTTTCCATGCCTTATTCTGCATTGTGTCTTTTGTATGAAGGTGGCCATTTTGGTAGAGGGCTTTGCTTCTTAGGCTGGCCATACACTGTTCGAATTTTGGCTGGTTCCTGATGAACCAGGTGAAATTCACTTAGTGGGTAGCCCCTATGGCCCTCTTCCTGCCAAACATCCTTCATTTGAAAAATCAAAGCAGCTGGGGAGAAAATTTATTGGCTGCACAGCAGCATCTAAGCTGCATCTAACTGTAGTGCTACCCCCACAGAAGCCATTTGGTAGTTTGGGGTCTCTGTTCTTCTATCTCTACTCTGAGAACATCAGCCCCACTGACACACCAGGTTAAGCAAATGGATACTGCACTGCTATTGGGAACACAGATACCTGGCACACAACTAGGGTTAAGTATAAACAAGCAGACTGGTTAGTGGTAAATGAACCCAATATATTGTCATGGGTTGCAGTGAACGACAGCATGCACATAAATGAAGAATTTAATTTTCCAGAAGCATGCACACAAAGAGGTCTCTAAGGTTCCTCTAGAACTCTGAATGTTGACAGTAGACTGATGCATAGCCCTTTTCATGCAACTAACCCATAAGACCCATCTCCTAGCCACTGTAAAAAAAACTCCTGAAGGACACAGGCTGAAACAAGCTGCTCTACTTCTCTATACATCATCCAAAAGGTATATCTAGGTGTCAGCAGTTTGAGTCTTCACAAGTATATCCACATTTTCTTTCAGCTAGAAAAATAGTAAAAATATGCTTTAGCTAAAATACCAACTTATGGAAGACAAACTTTTGATATGCTTACACCAACCTCAAGATCTGTAATATAAGGTATAAAATATTCAAGATTTCATTATACTTTTTGAAGTTGTTCAATCATAATCCCAAATTTTTCCATACAAATTAAGCAGGTAGGAACAGAAAAAAAACTGAAGTTACGGATATAGGTTCTATGAATTCACCTCAAATTGATAATAATCAGTTCAACTATTTTAATTAAGTTAATGCCACCCCCTGTGTTTAGGGGGGTTGTACGATTATATATATTGGCTTTTATTTTAATTGTATGCTATAAGGAAGGCTGTGGCTGAAATGCGTTAGATGTTATGGAATATGTATTTTCTGTTTATATGAAGAAGCTGCCAGCTACATCTTTAAAAGATTTGAAGTGAACGCCATAGCCTGAGCACCGGCTTTCTGCTCTCATTTGCTATACAGCGGTATAGCTTGAGTGAGTGTCTTTGAAAAAAGTGAAACGTGGAGAAAAAAAAAAAAATTTAAAAATCTTTTGTATAACATTTATGTTTTGCTTGCTGGGTTTGGTAAAGAAACACACTGGAGGTGTTAAGGTGCTGCCCCTTTAATTTTATTAGTATTAAATTTGCTGATTGGACAGAGGGCATTCTTATTCTTGCTTGGTTTCTTGTAACACTAGCTGCAATGTCGGGCACCCACAAGAGCCACGAGAAATGTTGGGGGGGGGGGGGGGGGGGGGGGGGGTCTGTTGCTGGCGCTCACCTAAGGTAAGTGTTGGAAGCAAAGAACAAGCAAAGCAGACATCTCCTTGCAAGCTGCAGTGTCGGACAGCTGTACTCTAAAGGGGACCACAACTGAAAGAAGTGATACTTTGAGGTCTGGGCTACCTTCAGGCATATCTGTCCTCAATTTATTCATTACTCCCCAGATTGGAGACCTGTTAGAGCTCTACTAGAGTTAGGGACCACACTTCAGAGGGACCTGGATGAGGCAATGTGGCTTCCCCATATATGCATGCTATTAAAATCGCTCTGTTTTTAATGCAAATTGACGACTAGCTGGTTAGAAACCAGGGAACTATTTGTATTGTATTGTGCAATGACCAGAGGCTTATCTGTTCATTATGAAAGGCTCATACAAACCTGTAGATAAAATTTACCTTTGCATCCTGTTTGGCAAGTTCATCATTCACATTATCACTCTGGTCTCTTCCTCCCTGCACAATAAGAAAACAATTTAAATAGTTTTTTTTGTTAATGTTTTCCTATGTTAATTTCTCCTCTGTCTTACTAGCCCAATCTAAAGCTACTGGAATTTGGCTGCTTCAGCATGCACTAGCCAAATTTTGATCAGTGTGCGGCTATCCAGTGCTCAGCAAAAGTCGGTCATAGACCAGTTTACCTTTAAAAAAAAAACAAACTAATGCATAGAGGTGAACCATCCATAAATAAGAATTGGATTTTTACTGTTGTGATGTTTTACTGCTTGAACATGGACAAATGTGACAAGAAAGAAAACAAACTGCCTATATCTTTGGATCATCTAGGTTTACATTTTCATGCTCTTTGAATTGTGCCCAGTTTTTTTTTCTCTGTTTGCATTGCCAATGGGTGTATACTTAAGTCAGACTATGTGAATGAAAAGCATTTATGTTATAAACTTAGTGAATTCATGTGTAGGATTTTGTTTGCTGAATGCAAATATGGTCTGGGCTATGCCTCATGCCTATAAAATAAAAGTATAAAGCACTTCTTTGATTGTAGAGCCCTATGATCTAGAGCCTTCCTAGCCAAAGGGAAACTTACAGCAGCCATAGCTACCAGCACTCTCTGGAACATAAAAGAGGTGTCTGAGCAAATATCATCCTCTAGAGACTTGCCATATTCTGCAACAAGAGAGTAAAAAAAATTAGAAGATAACTTACAAAAGCATATAAAAAACACATTGAATAAAAATAATAAAGAAAAAAGTTGTGTCTGTCAGTTGTCTAAAAACCACAAAAAGGACAGAAAAATAGTAGTCTGAATGAGGTTTAGTGTTTTGATGTCTTACGTTGCAGTGCGGGATTCTTTATATACTTAGCGGTGTATGTCCAATTAAATACACTGTATAGTGCTGCTTAATATGTTAATATGAAAAGAAAAAAAAAGTTTCCACCAAAGGCTCTTCAATCTATTTTGTGGTATACAAGAATAAACTGAGCCAACACAGATGATCATACAGTTGTATGCATAGTGCATGCAGTCTTTTTTGTATGAACAAATTGTCCCTGTGCTCAGTAGCTGATGCAACGAAAGCAGCTCATACATTAGTCATTTTTATTTTTCATTCAACCAGTGGTTTGAACGAAAAAAAAAAAAAAAAAAAAAAAAAAAAAAAAAAAAAAAAAACACCAGAATCCTTCCCGCTAAGTTACTGTATTCGAACAGGCAGGAGACTTCCCCAACATCCGAATATACTGAGCAGTGCTGCTGGCTATAGCTGGAAGAAGTGATCTATCAGGAAAAACCCGACAGGGCAGTTGTACAGAAGTCGATTGGTGATCAACTTGTGATCAACAAAATTTGAATTTCAATGCATGTATGGCCAGCTTAAGTATGTTTTCTTCACCATGTTTCAACAAGCATTTTATAAGGTTAAACAATGGCACTCAGTATGTAGATTTAAGAGGCTTTCATGTGTATTAAAAGAGAATCCAGCATCCTGTTTAATGTGTGAGAAATCAACTTAAAGTGGAAGTAAGCATTAAAATCGTGTATGTGTTTGTAGATATGGAGCTAGGAGATAGAGGTTTTTGGCAGAAACTTACGTGATGACCTAGCTGCAGGGGGGCTTTTGAAAATATTTGCATATGACACTAACAGCAAAACTTTAAAAAAAAGGGAACCAACTGGTCGGGACCCGGTGATTGACAGCCCCCTACCCGGAATGCAAGATCAGGTATGTATACACATGATTTTGCGCATCTGTGCCGCCCTGTAGCAGTATGTCTGCTATAGGGAAGGCGGGAAATGGTTAAAGTGGATCTGCAGTCACTTCAAAAAAATTTTAAAATGTCAGCAGGTAGAAATACGGTAGCTGCTGACTTAATAAACAGGACACTTACTTGTCAAAGGATCCAGAACGGTCACCCGGCTGGTTCTTTACTGGTCTCTAGGTCCCCTGCACTGGGCATGTTTACTAAGAGAAACTGGTTGTAAAGCTGCAAGGCTTCCCACTGCACAGGTATGAGCCATTTGTGAATGGTACCGCAGTCTTATGGGACCTGTGATGTGTCCCAGAAGGCTGCGGAAAAATAGGGGAGGAGCTGTCAGGGACCTCAGATCTGGCCGCGATCGCGCACGGGTCTGCGCATGCGCGGTATGCCCGGCCGCACTAGCGTGCGAGCCTTGGGACCCTGGCACCCGTGACAGCAGCGGCGGTCGCACATGCACACTCACACGCCTGGCACCAATCAGGGCGCAGGGCGCCCTATTTAAAACAGGACAGGTCTGTGTTCTAATTGCCGTATGGTCTTACCTGTATCCTGTGTTTCCTGTATTGAGATTGCCTTATTGCCGACCTGGATTTGCTGATTGTCTCCTGTTCTGATCCCTGGCTTGTCTGACCATTCTCCTGTTTAATCCTGCACGTTCTGATCTCCTGTTACCGAAACCCGGCTTGTGACCCGTTTATCCTTCTGTCTACTGTTTTGGTACCGTTCTGCCTCCGCCGTTACCGACCCGGCCTGCCAGACTCTGCTCTCGCTACCTCCTCACATCAGGCTCTCACCTGCTATACACCTCCAGTGGTGCTTCTCCTACAGCTGGGTGAACCCAGGGGTCGCGACCTGGTCTCAGCCTGCTCCAAGTCCATCCCCACCATCAGGGGCCCTGGTGAATAAGCAGGTTGGGACTTAGATTCCACACCTTGGGGGATTCCGGTCTGTGGAACGCTAGAGGCTACCGCCGGCAGGGACATAACAGGGGTGAACTTCCTTTCAGATCACCTAAGCGATCTGGGCAGAAGAGAGAGTGGGTACCTGTCAAAACCAGGGACAAGGGAGAGGAGGGGGGGGGCAGAAAAGCAGTATTTCTGCTTTTTGGTGAAGTTCTTCTTTAAGTAACAGGAACAGTTGGGAACTTTGCATCATATGTAAAGAAAATCCTATGGCTATATAATCTAGAACATACTCAGTTTATAATTTGCATTAATGTCTTGAATTTCTTTTGTTGATCGAGAAGCCAAGATTTCGATCAGACAGCCTTCATCGGTCCCTGCACCCTGCAAAGATAAGACAGCAAAAACAGTCAGTCAATTACAAGTTTCTGGCTTGGAAAAAATATACACTTCAGATTTGTCTGTCCAAGTAAAGTTTGTCATGAAAAAAAAAAAAAAAAAAAAAAAAAATATATATATATATATATATATATATAAAATATAGGACTGCCATTGCGGACCTACATCTGAAAATGTGCTGACCTACTGCTGACTGTGACCCAGAACAAATATGGAAGTCAGGGAAATGCCTGAGGTCCTTATCTGTATACTTGCCTAAGTCAGTAATTCAAAGTATTGAAGTCAGAGGGTCAACTATCATTTTCAGGAGAGGTCAGCAATGCAGCTTCCATGTTTTCCTCAAGACAGGTTTCTTTTACAAAATGAATCTGATCATTAAAAGAAAAACACACAGACACACTTTTCAGGTCCTCAGCCTGGGAAGGCCCAATACAGATTGCTCACTTCTCAGATTTGCTGCAAGCTAGGTTGGTTCAGAAACAGTTCCTCTACCTGAATAGCTCAGTACATTGGAAGGGGTTCAAAGAAAGGCTGATGAGACATAAAACCCATACACATCCTGTACAAAACTATTAAGGACTTCTTTACCAACAGATTAGTGTAAGGTGAGAATCTCATATGGAATATTAGATTCCTGTTAAATGAGACCTAAAACTCAGTTTTGGCTTTATATAGACAGATACGGGCCCATCCGGTAGTACACCTATACATTCAAAACCCTAATTATATTTGGACTTTACAGTACTACTCTGGCAAAAATACATACATCAAATTTATGATTGATTTCTTTTTATATTTCAATTGAAATTCATATTTTACAAATATAGTATTATGGACAAAGTGTTGAGCTTAAAACAAGAAAAACAGAAAAAAACCTCTGTGATATGGCAATCCAGAAAATAGAAAGGGTATAGGAAGAGCTATGCAGGCCAGGAAGAGGGAAAGATATCAGATAACAGAGGAAAATAAGTGATATTATTACGAATATATAAAATTTAGAGCAAAACATTAAAAAGTTGCAGGCTGATGCATCAATGCTGTCTTTGCGCTGCATACTCCATTCCATACGACATGCCTACACCATCATTTACATTTTTGCATCATAGCCATAGAATCATTCTGTGTATAACAATCATAGCCAATGGTGAATTGTCATCCTCTAATCTGTTTCACAGACTTGGTTCGCTTTTACCAGTTTTGTTGTGCTGTATGTGCTAATATCACAACCAGAAACTCTTTAAAAATCACTCCCCGGGCAGACAAAGGGGCAAATGCCCTGGGGCACCGACTGGAGATTCCCCACAGTATATACCCTCAATAACTATAGAGCTGTATTCCAGTATAATGTCATTGTTTTAGTAATTTTAAAGCTGGAAACGGTCAACCTCATGGGTCCAAATGTATAGCCATATTTTTGATACCACTCCAATTGGTATGCAGAACAGCATATATACAGCCTGCAACTTTTTTTGATTGCTTTGAATTTCATATATTAGCAATAATAAAAATCAAATGGTTTTAGTATGTATTTATCCCTAAGTGTAAAGTGAGAACTATAAGGTTTTGGCTTTATACAGAGGTAGACATATCAGTTGTGCAGCTGCATAAGGGGCCTGTGTGATACAGGAGCCCATTTATACTAGACGTGGGATGGGCAGGGGCTGGAACTTCTGTTACTGTCGGATAGACTTGGACACTACTCTAGGAAATGTGAGGCACTGAAACTGGTCTTCATGATGCCTTAACCATGTTCCTGGTTTTTAATATCAAAGTGCTGTCAGTCAGTGAAATACCTATATCACCTTTTGCCTGACTGGCACCAAGACATGAAAAATGTATCTCTCATTTGCTTTTGACACCATTTGGAATGGAAGCAAAGAGGATGCTTTCTGTCTGACCCCAGTTGCATATTATGTACCATGAAAGGTACATAATAAAAAAGGTACAGCGCAGATTATTCTTCACCTGTATTTATCTATAGCAATGGTTTCCAAACCTTTCAAACAAAAGGACCAGTTTCCTGTCCTTCAGACCTTAGGGGGGCCGGATTGTGGCCAGTGGGGGTAGAAAATGTCCCAGGCCTGGCATCGGTGAGACTAAACATTGCCTCAGGGTTGACCACCATATCACATGGTACTCCAGAACCATGCAATTTGGTGCAACACTTTTTTTTTTTTTTTTTATTGCAGTAGTAGTGCATGCAGTACGTTTTCCATGTTCCAGTGTGATTTGCAGCCCATGCAAATGAATGGACTGCAAAAATCGCACCACACTGGATTGAGCAGGAATTGGCACACGTTCCTGTGCAATTCAGGTGTGAACCAGCCCTCAGGTTTGGTGGTCAGAAGTGCATGTGGTCAGGAGGAGGAGGAATAGTGCCTTGTCATTGGCATTACTGGGAGGAATAGTGCCCTGTTATTGGTATTTCTGGGAGGAATAGTGCCTCATCATTAACGTCAGTGGCAGGAATTATGCCCCACTGTTGGTGTCAGTGGGAGCAATAGTGTCCCAAGGGCCGGATAAAAGCTTGCAAAGGGCTGCATCAAGAACCTCAGGCCACAGTTTGGAGACCATTAATCTACAGCATCTCTATCTTCAGTGAAAAAGCCAGTAGTTGAGTGTTGGGCCCAAAAATTGGTCTTGCACAGCGGACATTACGTTACTGTCTGCTATTGCATTTTCACACAGGTTTTTAAAACACTCATCATCCATAAATCTTGGTTTAAATCAATATCACCTTAGACCCTCTCCTAGAGGGGGCTTACAAAGGAAACCACAAAGCTAAAAATTTGTCTCCGGTCTTTGCTTCTTTTTACATGACGTCAATGTCAAAATTCCTCCAGAGTCTGGCAACATTATTTAAGTCTCTTTTTACAAATGTACTAAAAGGGCAAGATGTTTAACCAACAGCTCATCATATCAACAGCTCATTGATAAAGTCAGTTCTGGACATGCAAAGAATTTATTTATGAATGCATGCAGATCCGTACTAAAACAGATTTGGATTGAACAGGTTTGATTGGTTGCCATTTCACAATTTTTGAAAAACAATTAGCTTTGAATAAAAAGGAAAAAAGTTCTGCACTAACAATCATGCAATAAAAACAGTAAACAATGTCCGTCTTATACTCTCCAGGATTGCTGTAGCTCCCACCGACACGTTTCATCAGTGTAACATTAAGAGATACCCATATGATCATGCTAGTTTGACCTTTGTAATAGGGGACAAGCTATAAGGTAATAGCACATCATTAAAAAAAAACTCGGTGGAAGTGACACAATATTCAGTTTGGATTCACAATTGTTTCACTTATTTCAGGCTCTTATAATATATATTATATATATATTATATATATATATATATATATATATATATATATATACATACACACACATACATACATACACACACACACACCCGTTAGTTCCTGCCCTCAAGGAGCTTACAATCTAAGGACCCTTAACTAATCATACATAAATATACTAGGGCCAATTAACCTACCAGCATGCCTTTGGAGTGTGTTAGGAAACCGGAGTACCTAGAGGAAAACCACCCAGGCACAGGGAGAACATGTTAACTCCATGCAGGTAGTGTTATGGTTGGCATTTGAACAAACAACTCTGGTGCTGCCAGGCGGAAGTGCTAACCACTTAGACACTGTGCTTGTTGTGATTTTTGAGCATGGACTATATTCAGGAAATTATTACTCATTTTCACATTATCATTCTTGTTTCACTTTTGTTTATAGGTTTATATTATTACTTTGCTATTTACTGTTTTATTGCATAATGGTTTGATAGCGCAGTCAATATTACTTACACCACAGACAGTATTGCATGCAGCTAAGAATTTTGACGGCAGGTACACAGATTTTCTTTGATTCAAACAGCTAGCTTCAGTTGGAGAAAAACCTGTTTGCCATAATCATCATATGGAGGTCATATCTCAGATCCACCAATCGCCAACAAATTATTCATTGGATGGATGTATAAAGGATGCTATTTTCTAAAACAAGTCTCATTTTGAAGTATTCACCAACACCTGACAACATCACGACTGCAAAATATATGTAACGTTCACTTTATTAAGTTGCAAATTTCACAAGATTGACTTTGTAACATGAGAACCAGCCAATTTCAGGTATTTTTAATGATTCCTTCCTAAAGACCCTAAGCTCATCTTCATCTAAGTCAGCATTTAACAGAAGTTCCCCGGATTCCTTCATATCCATTTCAGTCTCTAATTATCTTAACTAATTCTGCAAATGTTTTTTATAAATATGCCCCATGCTACATTCATTTAATACACCATTTACCCTGTCTGCTATGCCAGCTCTTCATGTACTCACATTTACGGAGATAAGTGCTATTAAGTGGTTCCTCATCACTATTAAAATCAACAGACAAGACTTTTATTTCCATGAGTTAATTAGAATGAACTGCACATCCCTAGGAATGGCTATTTATAGTTTAATTATGCCTGCAGCATAATACATATTTAATAATCGTGTAATTATTTTCTTTTGGAAAAGTTTATCCATAACATGAATTATATTAATGGTAATCAAAGACAAGGTATAGTTGTTACATTAAAACACCGACACACAAAATAGACCTAATGTCAAATTCTGTCTTCATTTACGTGCTGCTTTAATTAAACTAAACTAATTGGGTCCTTCTTAATAAACTGAAAATACAATACATAAAAAATTAAATTATACATGCAGCAAAGGTCTATTGCAAACAAAATGTTTATGCTAAGCAGTGCAGGGACAAGGTTATCTAGCGCTCAGGGCAAAGATGCGAAACGGCGTCCCATCCCCAAAATGTTTGGGGCATTATGTGTCAGCAAAAATCCTCTCCTCCAAAAAAATGAGCACTAATCTACATGCCTACCCAAAGCATAAATTCCCTTTGCAAGCCAAAATTTCTAGCCAAACAAAAATTTCCCTCTTCCAGTACTCCTGCTAGCTTGTAGGTAGGCACTCTCCATGCAGTGTCCCCCACCTCATATGATTCCACAGAGTCTAGGGCAGCCACCCATTCTGCCCACCCCTTGTCTTGGCCCTGACTATGTGAGCAAGCTACCAATAACATTCAGGGGAAAAGGATTGGCAAAAGAATGTACTGTATATCTACAATGAAATTAGAAACCGGACATGTAACTTTCCTTTGACATCAGTTTGTGTTTTAATTTCCCCCCTTCCTTTAGATTGTAAGCTCCACAAGCAGGGCCCTCACATTCCTTCTGTACTGAAATGTATTGTAATTGTACTGTCTCCCTTATATTGTAAAGCGCTGCGCAAACTGTTGGCGCTATATAAATCCTGTATAATAATAATTTCCATTATAGGGGTTCCAATTTTCTGTTATGCCCTACCCAGTATTTTCAATAGTGCCACTTCCCGCAGAATTTATGTTTCCATGCTATCACTCACAATAAATTTAGCCCACCTTCACAGTGGAAACAGGTAGCATAAGTGAGGTATCACATGGTTCAAGGCTGTTTAGTGACTTGTCTTATCTAGCTTCTTAAATTCTTAGTCATGCTATGCCTTAGGTCACTAAGTGGACATAACTAATTGCCGCAATAAGACTACCATGCAGTACTGAGTCTACTTCATAATGATATATTGCATATATGACTGGGGACAGGTTCCTTTGTCCAGTATGGTTACCTTCATGGCTTTCTTCAGTTCCTGAACATCATAGAGAATTGATGAGGTTATCAGGCCAAGAATCACTTTTTCAAAGTTTCCTGTCAGCTCAGATTTCAGGTCATCTTCCAAATCCTAAAAAGTAATAAAGTACAAATTAAAATAAAAGTAACACATTTCATAAATTGCTTTTCCATTAAATCAGCTATTTTAAAGGCCAACTGCTCCCAATAACTAAAATAGACATTTTTTCCTTCTACTGCTTTTCTCTCAAATTTTTTAGTGTAATTAATGATCTACTGGGTTGTTTAAATGTAATTTGCCAATAACGAGCCCATTGAAGGGACACCATGATTATTCAGGTATTCACATGGAAAATTTAGTCAAAACATTAGACTATTTTTATATATCGCTTACATATTTGATTTTGTGCATGGTCATTGTGTGCACATCCAAGCTTATAATTACCCTTTAATAGTGTTAAATTTAATTGCCCACTAAAGAGAATAGTGTTTATGGAAATGCTAACCACTGAATACATTAATCCTAATATAGTAATACTTATTCTCATTTCAAATCTCACTTGCCTTTGTTTAGGGTGTGTAGCGGTACCCCCCAGAGAAGCCAGCAGTTAGAGAAGTCCCGGAGATATTTTGCCCCACAGCCCAAACACAGTCACTCTTTGGCTCACTAAAGAGTATAAGGGTGTTCTTTTTGGTGTTTTTATTTTTAGGGATCATTTGGGTAGGGATTGCGGATGAGCGGGATGCGCCAAAAAGAACTATGTACAAGATGAGGACATGAACTTTCTTCTGCAGCACTTTAAGCACATTCCTTGCAGGGGCCAGTAACGGACTTGGCTTAGTCGATAAGACAAAGGCACAAGTTTCTTCCTTTAAGCAACTTGAGAAGAGTCCTTTTAACACAGAACAAGATGGAACAAGCTTTTCAGGATACCAGCTGTTATTCCCTTTTCCTGCACTCTCAGCTGGCTCTCAAGCACCAGGAGGGGTAGCAGCATCCCACAGTCTCTAGGATCTCTCACACAGTCTGCAAGCCTCCTTCCAATGTCCTCCAGATACCTTTACCACTGATCTCAGACAAGATCCAACAACAGACAGTCCCTCAGTCAGTTTCCAGGCCACTCATTTAGTCCAGATGAGGCCTCACAAACAGCAAGCCCACTAGGCTGGATTCCTTCTCTTCAGGACAAGAGCAGAAGACTCTAGATCTCAGGCTATTTATACTAATTTCCCAGCAGCCACTTGTGCAGGGCCCACAAAGATTGGCTGGGACTGTATAAATATTCACGTTGCCCATTTACATTGCTCCACACCTATGTTCCAGAACTGTTCACATGGTTTTGAAATACAGAGTGAGAGCAACTAAAACTGCAACCTGTGAGATACAAAGTAAACCCTAAAAAATGATAGGCAGCTGCACCGACTACAGTGAGCTAGAACTAAATTTGCCTAACCCAGAATTACAGCCACACGGAGTACAGTGAGACAAGCTATATTTACCTTGTAACAAAAATGCAGCTCCACTGGACACAGCGAGCCAGAACTAAATCTATCTAGGAGGGTGCTACATAGGATTCTTCACATTGGCAAATTACATGCCAAGCTGCTCATCAAAAGTGACAAATCACGGTTGGGACATACTGGAACACCGCTTGAGAAGTTGCTGCAATGGATATTAATGTAACCTTAGCAGTATATGTAACTTCTGTGGAGCCCCAAATGATCCAGCTACACAAATCAAAACTGAACTCCAGAATAAGCAATTACTGTCTAAATACATGAGGCATGTGTTTTGTTTTTGTATTTAAATTTTGGTGTGCTTTGTGGATTTCTTCCAGGTCTGTGCAGTAATCCAAACATTACATTTTTCTCTGCACAAGAACTTCTTGTAATAATGACCTGTCACTGCTACTCTCCTTATGCAGGTGACTGGTCTTGGTCTTTGCTCTTTGCACAAGCTATGTATAGCACATAATTGATATCACGGCTACATTAACGGTAATATCCGGGCTCACAAAGACATTTGGTGCACAAAGTGGATTTATATTCTTTGTTGCTATTGAGGAATATATTTAAACAAAAGTAAAGTAATGAAAGTGTTCAGTTTAAATGGTAAAATGTTTGTGCGGTTTGGGAACCTATTTATGAAAGCTATGAAAGCAACTAATATTCAGTATTATTGAATGAATCGCCTTTGATTTGGAAATCAGAGAGAGACAGAACATCCCTTAAAATGTATGTCCAGCCAAAGCTTTATTTTCAGTTTGGTATAGAGTGGGTACGGATATGAACACTAATTTTCTTTTTGCCATCAGGTGCTTCATTCTAAAAGATTTCTCCACACTAGCTGACAATAGTTTCAATAGACACAAAGTAAGGGGAAATCTTCCCATGACATTATCATTGACTAAATATGATCAGATCTATATTTGGTCAGAGATAACATCTGGACACCCCACCCCTTTGTTTACGTTCCTCAGCAGGGACCAGAAGCTGTCATTCATAGCAAGCACTCAGGGGTGGATCATGTTTTGCATTTTTCTCTTTTGGGTGTCGTTGTTGTGATTCATGTGGATCTGCATCCCGTGGCTACATGATTGATGGTGGATTTACTTAGTGGGACATTTCTTTGGATTTTTTATTAGAACTTGTTCAAAAGTGTGTCTTGGTTTACGATTTACTTTTTTTGCCCTCGTCAACATCGGGACAGCATTGGGACAAAGTGCTTAGATAAGGGTCTGGTATGAAATTTGTGGGCTCCCTTAATAACCAGGCCCCAAGCAGGAAGCTGATACATTTAGCATTTAACCGCTACTAAATGTAGAATTTCCTGTTGCTGATAGAGGTTTTGCTTGGTCAAAAACCCATGTGCTTTTATCATTCACTGTACCTCCAAGTAGGCAAAGTAAGGTTCCATACATATGTGGTAATAGGGAGACAGACTACACTTTTCTGTCAAGCTCCTCCAAATGTTATAGGTGTACCTATAGGTGCTTGTATAATTTACATAACTGGTATTTAGGTACGAAAGTCATAATTATTTTATTAATTTCCAATAAATAGAACTATTTCAAAAAGCTGCACAGACTTGAGGAATAGAAGTGCTCAGGCTAAGATAGAAGAAATCACTCTAGAAGGTTAGGGCAGTTATTCTTCAGCAAATAACATTTACTGTCAGCACGAAGACCATGCTTGTGGTGTATTCAATTCATTATATCACAGCAGAGCAATACAGGAGATGTACAAGGTGTGATTTTTGTCTGGCATCTACAATGGAATCTGTCTCACTTCACTGACAATGGACTCAAAAAAGTGTCAGTTTGATATTTATATTTACTCAAACAGCACTTCTAAAACATGGCATGGAAGGGTTCAAGATGAGTAATGGAAAAGTATAACTATTACGAAGAGACAGCAATCAAATTTGCAGAGGAAAACTGTGGAAAATTGCAGCAATCAAACATTTTCATTTTCAAAACTGCAGGTTTAGAATATGCTTGGTTGACAAGAATTGCAGCACTTATTCATAATGAAGGATGGATAAATTCTGTTGTCAAAAGAAAGCCTGTAGGTAGAGAAATATAGTAGCTACCATTGCTAACCTTCCTTTGGAAATGCTATTTGCCTAGCTGTCTTAGGCCTCAGGATTGTACAAGTCATTGACCTGGAACCAGCTTGCATATTAGAAAGTCAGAGTGAAGTCAGTAAGGGAACTAGCATTTTCAGAATGATTGTAATATTCACCTTAAAATCATTTCTTCAAGTGAAGATTACACCACTGAAAGCATTTCACACGTAGCCCTTCCAGACTGTACAGCCAGACTGCTGACCCAACTGTTCACTGCTGCAGTAAAGGAGTAAATTAGGTTACCTCCCTGCTTGTAATTGGACAATAAAGCAGCAGGGCACCTTTCTACTCCCACTGCTCTCTCCTCCTGTCAGCGCACCTAATTGGCTCCCAGTGCTACTCCTCCATATTCCAGCCTGGGTGCTGCTGTACATGGGCCGAAAAGACACTGATACTAAATCAAATTCTTATACAATAGCATTATTACCAAACACAAAGTAAAATAAGCTGCAAAAAGGTATGTGTATAGAAGTGTATAGAGTTCAGTTCTAGGAATTTCATGAACCTCGGTATGGGAAGTAGACTCACAGTCAAATGGACAGAAGAAACAAAAGGGGAAATGTTACTTATTGGTAAAAGGGTATACAAAGAGAAATGGCGTAGCAACAATTACAGTCGAGGAACTGATTTTTTTTACACCTTGTAAGGTTAACCGAGTGGTATTCATCAGCTTGAGAAAAGTCCAACCATAGGGCTTTCAGATGGGGTGGATCCTTAAACGTGATCTGCCTGCTCAGCGGGGGATCTCTCCACTGATCCCCGCAGAGCAGGCGGATAACAGGTCTCCGTCTGCTCTGCTGCTGCAGATTGGACACAGACACTGCCCACTGATTTCAATGGGGCGGTCGGATAGAAACGGACCGTCTGTCCATTTCCACCTGATTTTTATCCATCCATTGAAGTCTATAGCCCCTTTCACACGAGCAGACCAATGGGGTCTATCTGTCCATTTTTCAGGCAGATCCGATCGGTCCATCCATAGATTTCATTGGACTGGTGAGTATCAGCAGACAATAGTTCGCTGACACCCACCAGCATCCGATCCTGTATGCCAAAAAACAGACGGATGGGGATCCATTCCCCATCCGTCCAGCGGATCATATCGGATAACAATCTGGTGGAAACCAACAGGTGGTCCATTTCCATCCTTCGATCCCATTGAAATCAGTGGGCAGTGTGTGTCCGCTCTGCAGCAGTAGAGCGGAGACCTGTCATCTGCCTGCTCAGCGGGGATCAGTGGAGAGATCCCCCGCTGAGCATATGGATCACACTAACGAATCCGCCCAATCTGAAAGGGGCCTATGGATGGACCAATTGGGTCTGCCTGAAAAACGAACAGGTTCATCTGTGTCCATTGGTCTGCTCATGTGAAAGGGGACTAACATTGCACTTGTCATGCAATTGTAAGAACCAATGAGGTTTACTCAACAATAAACAATAGACCTATCATAAGTTTGACCACTTCCACTGATGACCTCCTCCTG